GCGCAAAATCAAAGGTGAAAAACAAGAAATCAAGAGTTGAAAATAAAGATTTGAAACAAGAAGATAAACTTAATGCAAGATTCATCATTTTTCTATATTTCAATTTAAAACCCAGGCGATATACTCAATGCAAATCTTTAGTGTTTCTTCTATTGTTATGAGTAACTAAGTTTTTCATAAGGGCAAACAATGTAATCTATTGAGATCCTTTATTTTTTTTATTCAAGATTTTAGTTTTTTAAAAGTATATGTGTTGATTTTAATAATATATTTGATACTTTGAATTTCTTTATCATTAATTCAATGATTTTGTGAATCTTCTACGAATCGATAGGTGAGTTTTAAATTTAGACCACATAGTAAAAATTCGTTAATTTAGTATAACGTGTGAAAATATCTTTGGTAGTTATTGCAGTCACAGTATGAGTTCTTAGAACAAATAGTGCGTTTAATTAAGATTGATTCACATAGAAATATGGGGTTGAATTAATTAAATACATTTAATGAGAATTCGAGAAAAGTAAATTGAATACAATAGAATAATTCAATCGAACATTACATTAAGTTATGAATCTTGAATTAAGACTTAAAGGTACTCAATAGATAAAATTATTATGCCATAATATCTCATTCATATTTAAATTTTAAATCGATCTTTGTGTGCATCCCATTATTTTCAAGTAATTAGATAAAAAAATCACAACAAATCATAATTCTTTGTTGTTTTCATAAAAAAGAAGTTAGAAATAATAAATTAAGTATTTAAGTATAGTTCTCGTGGGAGCGACAATCCGAACTCAAATGTCCATTATATTACTTGTTATTGCGCTATAAAAAACGCAATGCTTATGAAAAGTAAGTGTCATATATCCACATTCCTCGAATGAAATGATCACGATGGGTTCATTCCACTCACATCATTTAGATTCCAAACACTATTGGTGTAGACAAGCTTCTACTTTAAAAACCCTACAAGTGTACGATCATCGACTAGGCATATGTTTGGACGAGCTTGATAGCTCCTTAAATGAGCTTTTTCCAACCATAATGCAACTATAAATAGTTGAAAAAAGCTCATTTTAAGATAAACCTTCTCTATTTTGCTCATATTTGTCAATCTCAACACTCTTAACGCGGCGTTGGCTTTTATAAATGCATAGTTAAATCCAAACTCCTCTGTACAATTTAAATTGCCTCATTCACATTGACTTGCATTTGGCATGGATCAACACTTCTAGCTTCTCGTTGTCGACCTAGTGAGGACAAAAAAATCGCTCACATAGGCACAATTGCAAAGAGTATACATCTAATTTCTTCCTTAAGTCATTAAAAGTAAAAGAAAAAATAGCAATTAGATGATCGATAACATTTACTTGAAATAAGCATCACTTTTTTTCATGACTTAAAACATCAATAATATGGGCATGGAAAATATTTTTATGGTTTATTGTGATAGAACACATTCATTTTATGTGTACCCATAGTTGATGGCCCATATTTGAGTGCGTGTCTACTTTTCTATGACTGGTAAAGGGATACCACATTTAAATCGAGATGAGAACTCTATAGAAATGATCGAGAAATTCGAGATTACCTTTTTTAGTAAAAAAAAATTAAGATTAAGACGCCAAAAATGACATTAAAATTGGTTTTTGTCATTTTGATCGTGTTATTGGGTAAGAAGACACTGAAATATCATAAATTGGTTTGAATTTAAGTCATTTGAGATTAATATTGAAGACGCTGAAGTGTCATATATTTATTGGAGTTTAAATCATTTGTGTTAAGCATAAATTATAATTAACAATTTTCAAATTTTTAATTGGCAATTTCTTTAATCAAAATTAAGTACTAGTTGAATTGTATTAGAAGTTTATTAAGTTATAATCAAAGTTAAAATATAATTTAATGAATCCTAATTAGAGTAAAAATAGCTTGGAGTTGATAGTGCAGTCATTGGAGGAGTCAAAGAAGATTACATATCCGAATCACCTCAATCGGACACCGGGAGAAAAAGTTATGACGAAAATATTAACCAATGTTCGACTGCCGCACACCTGGAGCTCAAGTGGTGTGGTTATCTAAAGAATAGTAAATTTCGATTTTTAAATTGATTTTGAGTTCCTTTTCATCCCAAACACTACCTATTATAAATACGCACCCTATTGAAACGTCTAAAAGTGTGGTTGAACATTATTTTGATTATAAAG